CAGACTGGGTGGCCTCGGGGCTCTCTGCAGAAGGGTGAGGTCTTCCTCACTCCACATCCTGAGTTTTCTGTCCTCCTGGGCCAGATTTGCCACTTTGTATTTTCCAGAAATGTCTGGAGAACTTTCACCTAAAGTCTTCCTTACAGGTCCTCGCCTGCAAGATCAGCTGGACCCTGAAGATAGAGCCGAGGGTCCTCTGACCTCTGGTGATGGAAGAGAGGCCATGGCAGGCAGAGGTGCCCCCAGGAAGCAGGGTCCAGGGCATCTCCAGGGCCTCCTCCCTCCATCTGGAGGGTCTGACCTGATTGTAGGAAGAGGGTGGGCAAGTTTCCCTGGGGGAGGAGCCGCGGGACAGTTGCACTTAGTAACTCTGAGGTCTGCTGGGTGCTGCGGGTCGGGGCATCCTAGCCTCGGGACCGGTGTGGAAATACCTGCCTCAGGTGTGGGCAGAGGATGGTGGTACCTGCCTCAGGGTGGAGAGGATGGAGGGAATGCAGTACCTGCCTCAGGTGTGTGCAGAGGCTGGAGTGGGTGGCAGTACCTCCCCAGGGTGGAGAGGAAGGAGTAGATGGTATTACCTGCCTCAGGTGTGTACTGGTGACAAGATGGATTCCCAGGAGCAGGTGAAGGCACACCTCTTAGTGGTACTCCTTCAACGTCTGTTTCTTGCCTGCTGGCTCAGGAAACAGGTAAGGTCTCGAGGCCACTGATCCTCCTGTGAAGGCACAAGGCAGCGTCAGAGCAGAGCTGAGGCTGCGGGATCCTGAGGGGCAGGTGGTCACCAGGAGCTTCCTGTGCAGCCTGGCCAGCAGGCGTGAGGCTCCGGGGCCCAGAGCCTGCCCTCAGCATTTAGTCCTCCTGCCCCTGACCCAGCTGGAGCTCAGAGAGTGGGGGAGAGGGCGTCCAGAGTCCCACCGGAGGAGTCTCGGGAGTGAGATTCCCGTCTGCAGGTGAGCCCTTGGTGTTGTGCTGTGCTGATGCCCAGCTCCCTAATTAGGAGAGGGTGGGGAGCGCCACCAGGAGCAGCAGCTGAAGAAGCACATCAGGCCTCAGTGTGCGCCTTGGCACTCCAAATGTGAAGTCGTGAAACTGAAATCACAAAAAGGGAGCAGGGGCCTACGCCTCCCAACCAGAGAAAAAACGGCAACTAGAAACAGACCCAGAATGACCTGAAAGAAATCATGGTAAGCACAAGAAGCGATCGTGACCCTACTATCGCAATATGACCTGGCTGTCAAGCTGGGGGCAAACACAGGTATGTGGAGGAGAAAGATAGAAGATGTTTAAAAAGACCCCAAATAAAGCACATGAATAAAGGTCTCCACGCTGGAGGGGAAGCAGCCCATCATCACTTAAAAACATGCTTTTCTAGCTGTAGATAGGCGAAATGCCATGATCTTGTGTACTGATTTCTATGTGGTGCTGAGGATCGAACCCAGAGCCTCACCCGTGCCAGGCCAGCGCTCTGCCACTGGGCCCCAGCCCAGCCGATCATTATTTGGAGGCATGTCATGAAGTTAAAGATGAAGACAGTGACTGTACAGAAACCATGACAGGGAAAGTGTACAGCTGATAACCCACGACTCAGCCACGTCCATAACCACTTTAGATGTCCAGAGCCCACACATCATAATTAAAAGTTGTCAAATTGGATTAAAAACATGAGACCCTACTCTACACCATATATAAGATTTTTTAAATTCTCTTTATTTATTCCAATTTGTTATACATGACAGCAAAGTGCACTCCAATTCCTGGTACACACATAGAGCACAATTTTGCATGTCTCTGGTTGTACACAAAGAGGAGTCACAACATCTGTGTCTTCATACCCGTATTGGGGTAATGATGCCCATCTCCTCCCGCATCTTCCTACCCCCTTACCCTCTCTTCCCTGTCCCTCTGCCCTATCTAGAGTCCTCCATTCCTCCCGTACTAACCCCCATCCCCATTACGGATGGGCATCCTAACATCAGAGAAAACATCTGGTATTTGTTTTTGGGGGGGGGATTGGCTTACTTCACTTTGCATAATATTCTCCAACTCCATCCATTTACCTGCAAATGCCATGATTTTATTCTCTTTTAATTTTAATCCCTTTTTATTGTGTATATGTACCTCAGTTTCTTTCCATTCATCCACTGAAAGGCATCTAGGTTAGCTCTACAGGTTAGCTATTGTGAATGGTGCTGCTATAAACATTGATGTGGCTGTGTCCCTGTAGGATGCTGTTCTTAAGTCCTTTGGGTATAAACCGAGGGGAGGGATAGCTGGGTCAGATGGTGGTTCCATTCCCAGTTTTCCAAGGAATCTCCTTACTGCTTTCCATATTGGCTGCACCAATTTGCGGTCCCCCCACACCCTCGCCAACACTTACTGTTGTTTGTCCTCACAATAGCTGCCGTTCTGACTGGAGCGAGATGGTGTCTTAGAGTAGTTTTGATTGGCATTTCTCTAATTGCCACAGATGATGAACATTTTTTCATGTATTTGTTGGTTGATTGTATATCCTCTTCTGAGAAGTGTCTGTTCAGGTCCTTGGCCCATTTGTTGATTGGGTTGTTTGTTTTTGTGG